CTTTAACTTATATAGAGCTGTACGTCACTTATATCTCAATAAAACTGGAAGGAATAAAATAAAATAAAAAACATAACAAATAATTACTAATTACACACAAGCACAAAGAATTCATGGTTTTGAAACTTGCCTTTGTACGGCCTTTTTCCTTATCTAGTGATTATCCCCAGCTTTTCTGGCAGCTGTCAAAGGGAAAGACTGACCATACAAGCCAGCCCCTGGCAGAATTCATGTCAACATTCTAGGAGGGCTGGTTGGGCTAGCCAGTCCACAGCACTGATAATTAAGACATGAGTTACATCATGGGCCAGAAATGCTATGAGCCAATAATCACGATAATAAGTAAAAGTTGGTTTCTTTATATAAGGATTTGGGCTATGACTACAGAAGACTGGAAAGGCAGCTGTCATTCCGCTCTACATCACACACCCTGATGACCTGGGTGGATGAAGGGACTGTTGACTGTGAACTAAAGGTTTAATTCATATTCAAAGTTAGTATACTTTTTTAGGGTTCCTGTGGGGACCCCCAAATGGCAAATACAATAGTGTGAAAGAACAGGCTGGAGAGAACATCTGAAGAGGTGGGAGAACATCTCTTCATCAGGCTCTCTCTCCCTCTGGATGGCCTAACGACTCATGGCCACTGTGATAACCAGTATAAATAGGAGTGATTTGATGGGGGCAAGGGGATGTTGCAATAATCATATATAATACAACTTTGAGTCAGTGCATAGGAAGAACCAAACATCCTGACAGCTTACTATTGACACTGACATCACTTTTCTATTGCAGGAAACTCTTGCCCGGGATAATAAAAGTTGTAACTATCATTTTTTGCAGAAATTTCAAGAAGAAAAGCATTTAAATGAACTTTGCGACTTTTCAATATTTTGCATCCAACCACTCTCTAAGACTCTGAAATCCTTGCCTCAAAACCCTCCCCTTGGGCTTCCCTGGTGGCGCAGTGGTTGAGAGTCCACCTGCTGATGCAGGGGACGCAGGTTTGTGCCCCGGTCCGGGAGGATCCCACATGCCGCGGAGCGGCTGGGCCTGTGAGCCATGGCCGTTGAGCCTGCGATCTGGAGCCTGTGCTCCGCAACGGGAGAGGCCACAACAGTGAGAGGCCCGCGTACCACAAAAAACAAACAAACAAAAACAAACAAATAAACTCTCCCCTTGCCCTAATAATCCTCAACTATTGTATCATTATTCTTGTCCAGTCCCTAATCAAGCCCCCTCAGTGGAAAAGCTGCCTTCAAATAGACCCCAACACTTCATAAATATCCCGACTTTGCCTCCCCATTTTAGACGGTACTCTGGCTCTGCGGCGTAGTTAGTGTTCTCCCTTCCTGCGATGAGAACTCAGCTTTACATCATCACAAAGTTGTTTTGAGGGTATTTTCAGGGAGCCACCATTCAATTATTGAGCTCCACCGAGATCCAATGGAGACCCTCTTCACCACTGCAGCGCAAGACCCCTGCTTCAGAAACAGTGTCCCCTTCTGAGGCCCTCGATCCCCTCAGGGGTCTTTCAGGCTTCACTAGTGAGGGATGTAAGGCTTGTCCTGGGCCCAAGTTCCAATTTCTTATTTTAAGTCTCCTTTTTGTTGAGCTCCCCAAATACTGAATCTATTTTGTTTCCTAGCAATAAGGAACTCTTTTCAGGAATCCTTTGATTACCTGACCATATTTGAAAATCTTTTCTCCTTGGTGCATATCCACCTTATCACTAACCAGGCAACTATTTGTCTATGTCCATCCTGGTCATTTATTGTTGTGCATATATTAGAATAAAGTTCATGGTGAAGAGGACAGGTGTGGGTCCCAATAAGTCCATCCCTAAGCCAGCCCAGGGAAAAGTTTTGTTTCAGGCCACTGAACAACACCTTATGAGAACTTTCCTCAGACTAGTTTTGTCTGTGAGAGTTTGGATCAGCAGAGATCTCTCCACGCCCTTCATCTGCTGAGAACTGTAAGTTCAACAGAGTTGCCATTGGGTAAGGTCTAGCTGTGAGGTTGGGGGTCCCCGAGCCACAGGATACACAAGCAACTCTCCACTGACATTCCCAGTCTTAGTATAAACTTCAGTCCATGCCTTCCTTGGACCCAACTTCTGCTTCTTACCTGTATTGATGCTATTGCCCAAATCTGTGCACTTGTTTTTCTAAATAGCATCATTTCACCAAGGATAATTCAGAATGACAGTGGCCACTATAAGAACTTTTGTTTTTGTTTTTGTTTTTGCGGTACGCGGGCCTCTCACTGCTGCGGCCTCTCCCGTTGTGGAGCACAGCCTCCGGACATGCAGGCTCAGCGGCCATGGCTCATGGGCCCAGCCGCTCCGCGGCATGCGGGATCCTCCCAGACCGGGGCACGAACCCGCACCCCCTGCATTGGCAGGCGGACTGTCAACCACTGCGCCACCAGGGAAGCCCCACTATAAGAACTTTTGATACGAACAAAGTTATTCACTTGAGAAGTGCCTTTGAAGGAAAAGGGAACATAATTCCAAACATCCAACGGTCTTCATTTTTTTATTAGCATGAGGAGGCATCCAAAAGAAATTGGATTCCAAAACTGCCTCCTTAACAGATTCCTTGGCCAAAGCAAAAGAAAAATATGAACTTAAAACTGTCTTTTAGATCTCCCACAAATCACAACTCAAACACACTATTCCTCTTCCTCTATCCTACATTCTTCCATCTACTGCTGCCCCATCTCTCCCTCTGACCCCCTCTCCTTCCCTCCTAGCCAGCCAGGTACCCCAAACCTCACTTAACCTCTTTAAGGGAAACCTCCTTCAGCACAGAGAAAAACTCTTATGGTGAATTTTAAGCTCTGGTTCCATTCTCAGCTGAAAGCCATTGCCTAAGACTCTCCAAGGCCTAGATAAGATAGAACATTGCAGAGGAATTTAGAATAGTTTGAGGGACATGTAGTCCAGAGTGGCCAGATATATACCAATAGTGCATATGTTGCAAAAAGTTCGATAAAAAAGTCAGAATTGGAAGACCTCCAATGATAACTTAAAAGACCTTGAATTGTATAGGAAGCTGAAGGGACTTAGAAACACTGCAGATGTCGGTCAAGGACTTTCGGAGGCTATCCTTTGCCTTTCCTGTGAAATTAGTGTTCTGATTCAGTTCTTCAAGCCAAAAAAAAGAGAAGCCTGATGGAGACTTTAGGGATAGGTTCTTTAATACGTTGCATTCAGTAGTAAATCTTGAAGCAGATGTGACCCTGGCTCTCCCTCTTATCTTTTTGTGAATGGCCTCAAAGCAGAAATAGAGGATTTAATATGCAAGCAAAAAGTAGGGTGGGAAATAGGCCCATGGCCAGACCTCCAAAACCTTGAAAGAGCTCTATTTTAAAAGAGCTCTAGAACGAAGAAACTAAAGGGAAAAGAAAGAAAGAAGTTATCAGTGAAGGTGCTCCATTTCCCATTCTACCTGCAAACCCACAAGGAAACATTTCTCTAAAAATTAAAGGACAGTCTTACAATTTTGATTGATATGGTCACAATAATATCAATCTTAAACCTGAGCACTATGATACAGATCTTCCTCAACCTATAATGGGGTTACAGCCTGATAAACCCATCATAAGTTGAAAATATCCTAAGTCAAAAATGCATTTAGTAAACCTAACCTACCATCATAGCTTAGCCTTGCCACCCTTAAATGTGCTCAGAACTTACATTAATTAGCCTGCGACTGGGCAAAATCATCTAACACAAAGCCTATTTTATAATAAAGTATTGAATATCTCTTGTAATTTATTGACTACTGTACTGAAAGTGAAAAACAGAATGGTTGTGCGGGTACAGAATGGTTATAAGTGTATCGGTTGTTTCCCCTTGTGATCACGTGTCTGACTGGAAGCTGCCCTGCCCTGCCCAGCATCATGAGAGAGGATCTTACGGCACTTTGCTAGCCTGGGGAGAAAGACCAAAATTCGAAATTCTAAGGGTGGTTTCCACCAAACTGATATCACTTTCCTACCGTCTTAAAGTTGGAAGAAATCAAACCATCATAAGTCAGGGACCCTCTGTACAACCCTTTCCTTGGAGTCAACAAACTACTTGGTCAGGCATCTATCTAATAATCCTAAATATCTAAAACCACACCTTCCCTAGGCCCCGGCACTTAACCATCAGCCCCGTACTTTTAACCAAGGAATGTTCTTTTCTCCTTTGTGACACTACACTCATTAACTTAATAGCAAGGGATTTACTGTGTGAATGGAATTGCCACATTAAACGCTCTCCTGACGGCCTCTTCCCTCCAGTCCCTGAGGACCTCCCTGTTCATAATGAGGTCCTGGCTAATTCGGTTATTTATTTGCCAGTACTTTTGTGTGTAAATCAAACATAGATTGAAGCTCACCTGTGGGCAAGCAATTCCAGAAAGTCAGACATTCTACTAGAACTAAACCCATCAAGGTTCAGACTGACCCGCCTAAACCTCTACCCAAGTTTGCACAATAGCCTTTAAAACAAGGCACTAAGGAAGGAATAAAACTAAAATCAAAAGCCATAAAGAGAAAGGAGTCTTCATACCTCATCCTAGTCCTTGTAATACTCCTATCCTCCCAGTCAAAAGCCCAGTGGCAGGAGTATAGATTCACTTAGGTCCCTGGGGCCATAAATAAGTCACTCTCCACTTCCCTTTAGAACCAAACTCAAATACTGTTTTATCCTCAAGGCCTAAGGAGACTGACCACATGTTGTACAATTGTAGAACTCTGTTGTGCTTTCTTTGGTGTCTCTTTAAATCAAAAGTTAATACCTGTCTTCTCCAAGGAAAATCAACAACATACTTGGACTGGTATGCCTCAGTTTCTGAGATGCCCTTCTACTTTTCACAAGTCCTCAACCAGGACCTCCAGAGCTTTAAATTGCCCTGTGACCCTATTCTTAGCCAATATTTGGATAATCTTTCTTGTTCCAAAGGTGAGGCAAGCTCTAAGGCTGATTCATCTCTCTGCTTCCTCTTTTAGCTCAGGGAGGGCATATGGTTTCCAAGAGAAGTGAACAATTTGTCAAAGGAAAGTGCACGACCTAAGACAAGATTTATTCCGTGGAGGCAAATCTCAATCCAGACAACCAACTGTGCAAAAGGTACCCGGCCAACTAAGAGACAATTATGAGGATTCCTGAGTCTCACTGGCCACTGCAGGCTGTGTGTTCCCAAGTTTTCTGAAACTCCCATACCATTATTTGACCTGCCCAAGTCTCTGGTAACCAAACCTTTTCTCTGAGAACAAACATGAACTTGTTTTTTGTGAGTTGAAATGAGGTGTTCAATACCCTCCTACTCGGGGCCTAACTAAACATCATAAGCCTTTCAACCTATAAGTAAATCAGAGATCTCACTAAGCCCTTAACTTCATGAGAATAAAGACTAATAGCTTAGCCTCTCTTGTGATCTAATGGCAAGAGCTTCCCACTTTGTTAAGGGGCAGCAGCTAAACAAATAGTCTCCCATTGGCTTGGCTTTAGAGTCTCCTTTAAACCAGATGGTCCCTCGTGCTGTACCATCTTTCTTGCTCCCTGAAAATACACATTTCTCATTAAGTCGATTTACCTCCTGCGAACTTCCTTCTTTTCTCTGAGATGCTACAAAGATTGTCAAGGCAGTGCTCTCCCTCACTGTGGTAAGCAATGAACTCAGCTTCACCTGATCAGCAAGTTATTTCGGTAGCATTTCTGAGCTGGCAAATGACAGCGGTCTTTATCAGAATGTGTCCTAAACTCTCATCTGAGAAATCCCAGATTATTAAAAAATAAAAACATCCACCACTCTTTCTATTTGTCATTGATTTTGGAAAATATTACTGATTGGATCATGATTGTTCTTTGTTCTTGTTCCTACAGCCTCTTACTCCCCTGAAAGATGTTGGTCACTAATGGGCTGGGGTCCTGTCTCTGCTGGAAAAGAGCCGTGAAGGGGTCCAGCATGTGTTCTGTGGTGCTGAGGGGCAGTTTGTCATAAGCTTTCACCATGATGCTGTGTTCCTCCCTCCCATGCCCACACAAATATTGATGCACCCGCGGAAGAAACAGGCAGCAATACCCCTTCAGTTAGTTCCCTGGAGTCCAGCAAACTGGGGGAGGGGTTGGCAAAGGATTGGAGAGAAAAGAGGGAGGAGAGTTGTTTTCCTTATTTTGTCAGGATTCCTCTTATCAGCTCTGCTTTTCTTTGCCTGCCCTAGGGCTGACTCTGGGGAACACCAGATTGGGGCAAATCGCAGGGTGTCCTCAGGCCACCCTCACCCACAGTACACGCACATCTCTCTCCAAGTGAAATCTGGTTTTGGTGACCAGCAAGGGCAGGCAAAGGGTAACAAAAAGCCGGCTAGAGCAGTTGACAAGAGTAGGTGAGGAGGAGTTTGTGTAAATTGAGTAAACTGCCAAAGCTGTCCCCATTTTCCTTCATCTATCTCCTGGTCTCTAAGAGCTCAGGACAGACCCCAGAGCGGCAGCCAAGGTGAGGAATTCTGCCCCCCAAACAAGGAATGGAGCAGCATTTGAAACCTACAGAAGAGGATATCCACGGGGGAGGGGGGGGAGTTGGGGGCGACAAGGGGGGGCGGGGGGTTAGGAAGGCTGCCTTCAACAGATAACCCCTTGTGGGCCCAGGAGCCTGAGCTCCACTTGACAAAAACTTCCCACGGTTACAGTTGTCTGGAAGCACGAAGCAGTGAGTCTCCTGACACTTAAAAGCTTGCTCTAACTCTCCCGTATTCTGGAATCTTCGGTCTGTGCCATGCACTATGTCACTTAGTTTTGTTTTGTCGCTTTGGTCTCGCTGTGATTTCTTGAGTGATGGCCTCCATCCCCACACGGGACTGTACGCTGGTGTCGCCCCGAGGCGGGGTCACCATAACCAGTGTTAGGCAGAGGGTGTCTTCCGCCTCTGCCCCCGGAGCCGCCCTATAATCCTTTGAACTTCTTCGTCCGCACAGCAGCGAGCTAAGTCCTAGAGCTCGGTACAGCTTTGATCAGTCTTCAGACACCAGAATTAAATATGTAAATACCAAGTTGGAGAAACAGCTTAAAAAGTTTAAGAAATCCAGAGCAACGGGATTCCGCAGAGGACAGGCCTGCCAGTTGGGTTGGGGGCAGACAGGTTGGAAAGAGGAACACCGCTCTGAAAAAACAACGTTCAAGTCTCTCGCGGTGGAGGCGTCCCGAGAGTCGCTGGACTCCGAACCGGCGGGTTCTCCCGAGAGCCCCGCGTGTGGCGCGCAAGGCTCGTGCGGCCCAGCAGGGCGGGACCCGGGCGGCAGCCGGCGGCTCTCCGGGGAGGCTCGCTCTAGGAGTTGGGAGTGACCGGCCGGCCGGCCTCTCCCGGGATTTGTGACGTGCCGGACAGCGGTGGTGACGGGGCCACCACATAAAGCCGGGTCGTCGGGGCGGGGGTCTCCCAGGCCAAGAGCCCCGATGGGATGGGGGAGGGGTGGCGAGCGAGGCGCCCCCGACCTCCGGGGCTCCGCGCAGCATTAAAGTGACGCGCTCCCGGCTCGCCGAGGCCGCGCCACGCCCCCGCGGGGGTGGAGCCGCGGCCGGGGGCGGGTCCGAAGCTGGCGGCGCCCAGGCCTGGGGCGGGGGCTGTGACAGCAGCTGCAACGGCGGCAGCAGCGGCGCCTGAAGCTGCTGCAGCAGAGGCGGAGGCTGCTCCTGGACGCGTCCGGGCCGCTCAGCCGGAGCCCCAGCCCCGAGGCGCCGGGGGTGCGCTGGTTGCTGCGGCTGCTGCCCGCCGGCCGCCGCCCGGGCCCCCGCTGCCACCCGGGCCCCGGCCGCCGCTGGCGCCCGGGTCGACCCCGCCCGCGTGTGTGCCCCAGCCGGGACGCCGCCCCCGGCCGGGTCTCCACTTCTCGGCCGCACCTCCCATGACAGCGCCCGCTCGAAGATGGCTGCGAAGGGCGCGCACGGCTCCCACCTGAAGATGGAGAGCGAGCTGGAGCGCTGCCGCGCCGAGGGCCACTGGGACCGCATGCCAGAGCTGGTCCGGCAGATGCAGACGCTAGTCGTGCCCGGCGGCGGGGGCGGCCGGCGAGCCAGCCCGAACGCCGTGCTCACCTCTGTGGACACCGGTGAGTGAGGGAAGGAAGGGGCCGGTTCACGGGCGCGGAGCGCGCGAAAGGCGCCTCCTCCAGGAAGCGGGCCCCGACTGCGTGGGGCCGGCGGTGGCTGCTTTCGGTATTACCGTTCCTGCAGTGCTGGTCTTAGGAGCAACCAGGGTAGTAAGGAAGGTTCTTCTGCCCAAGGAGAAAACTCACATGCTTTGGGGAAAAGAGAGAAACGGTTTTTGCCCTCTGCCCTTTCGGATCATGTGGGCTGCTCCGACTGCTGTGAAATGGTGGTTTCGGCACGCATCAGATTGGGGCTTAGGCCGGACTCTTGCGCCGCGCCTCCAATCCCCATTCCGGTTCCTAAACTCCGTCAGGTGAAGGCTGTGCCTGTCTCTCCTTGCCCTCCCCCTCTTTCCCCCAAGTCAAATTAACGGCGAAGCTCTGTGCACAGCCAGTATGATTGGGGGCTTAACGAGCGCCGGGTGGAGTGGTGGAGAAGTGGGAAAGAGGCCTGGTAAGCCTCAGTTTCTTCTTCTGAGTTCTGGCTCGGGACGCATCTAGCCCTGGCAGTCTGTGGCTTTAGCAGTAGGGCTGGTTTGGCTGGGCTGGGCTCTTGTGCTGGGGTTGGAAGGCACCCTGATGTGGCAGTGGGGGAACACCCCGCCCCAGTCTCCAACCTCAAACCTGTTCCTGGTGCCTTCAGCTCAGCCCTGAGCCCTCTCTTTGTGCGCAGCCAACTTTAGAGCCTTTGTGGAAGGAGGCAGGGAGTAAATAAATACAGATATAAAGAGTTTTAAAGACTGCCCAGCCTGTGGAAGGCTCTGTGAGGAGACAGAATGATAACGATAATAGTAACAGTAATAGCTAACTGGCTCACTCACTGTGTGCCAGTGTACTAAGCACTGTAATCAACTCAGTTTCTCCCAACAACCCCATGAAGCAGGTACTCTTGTTTGCCACTTACAGATAAGGAAACTGAGGCACAGAGAACTTAAATAACTTGATCATCCAGCCAATAAGTGGTGGAACCAGGATTTGAACCTAGGTTTCTGAGTACATCCTTTTAACCACTTGCACCATTACCTCTCCAAGAAGTATAACAAAATCCCAGCTTGAAGAGTTGACAAAATGAATGGGAAGGCAGAGGGGCGATCAGAGGGCAATTGTGTTAGATTATGGTGCTTAGAGGAAGAGGAGTTTTCAGGAAGCAGCAGAACTGGTACTGGCCTCTAAGTGGTGTTGGGAAGGGCAGAGTATGTTTGCCCAATGAGGAGGAAGGATAGATGGACATCGAGGGGGCTAGGTGGCAGGGATGGACAGTCGGTTTGAGGCTTTGAGGTAGGTCTGAGCGTGGCAGTGAGGGGTAGTGGCCAGAGCTAAAGATGCACGTTTGGTAGAAACTGATGAGACCCCGCCTTCCAGGGAAGGACAGATACATTTCAGGTTCCCCTCTGTCCCCTGTGTGGGGTGATGTGGTGGGGTGGGGCTGGTGAGGGTGGAATGGAAGATGACCCATGCAGAGGGCACTGGGGCCTGGTCAAGTGTGGGAATCTGGGTGAGGTTGGCAGCGCCACAGAGAAGCATGCTGGGCCCAAGACAGTAACCGGGGCCACCTGAGTCTATCCAGGGCTTTACTTCCTCAGCTGTTCTTCAGAGGTCATAAGGAGGTTGAGTAATTAATTCCTTGGTATTCTAGGATAAAAGGGTTTGGGGAGCCAAAAAGGCTAAGTCATTAGACCTAACAGATTCAATGTTGTTAAACTGATCTTTTTTAACTGCAGGACTTCTCAGAGCCTTTAATATGCTCACCTGCGTATGATGTTCAAGCCGAGGTTAGAGTATAAATACCACATTTCTCAAACTTCCTTTGACCGTACTCTATGAAGGATTATGGGGAAACACTGGTATGGCATAGTTTATAAATGGTATGGTATAGTTATAAAGTGCTTCTTGTATTTGAAAAAAACTTTTTTTGTAAACAGCCCTGTGGGGAGGGCAGGAATTATTGTCCCCATTTTAGACATCAAGGCCCAGAAAGGTCACATAATGAGTATGTGGCAGAGACTGTACCCAAACCGGAGTCCCTGACACCAGGTCTACTAGTGACAGAGGGAGGAGTGTGGAGCCTGGGTTGGCTTCACTGTGGGAACTGACTAGCACAAAGAGGGAGGCTAAGGTCAGTGGGGTCTCTCCTGCCAATTTTGGGGTTTGGTCCTATGAGCGATTTTCTCCCATTGTTATTTCCAGATACATTTATCCCAGAACGCACACATGCCTGCACGCACGTGCACACACAGACACACACAAGGAAGGAAAACAAATGACTCCCGAAGCCCATGCTTAGGGCATTTTTTGGATTGTCTGCTATTTTGGTTCCCTCTCCACTGGGTTCCTTGATCACTGGAGGGATCAAGGGCCTGTTTTTTTGAGGGGGTGTGAACACTGAGCCACCTGCAGCCCGGGAGGGAGATTCTTAAAAGTCCCACCTGGTGTGTTAGACTCAACGACCAGAAGCTTCAACATAATTACATAATTTGGGAGAGGTGAGGAAGGTGCTGAGGGAGGAGGACAAACCCCAGCTGAACGCTATTTTACAGACAGAGGCCCTGCTGTATCTGTGGGATTTCCCAAAGAAACGAAGGATAGCCCCCAGAACATGGGTTTCACTCCAGGGAGCACAAGGGGAAGACCCAGCTGAAGGGGGGGGACCTCTTTCTGGTCTGGTGGGAGCAAAGGATCAGGAGATGCTCCTGCGGAAGGGGCCCCCTTTTCCTGTCTGGGGAGGCTGCTCCCCACCACCTGCCCAGGGGGAAGGTGGTTACTACTGTTTGTACATTTTCTTTCAAACTCACATCCGGTTTAGATTTGGTCAGGATGGAGCAGGGGAACCCCAGAGGGTGGCTAGCTGTAAAGGGTTTTGTTCACGTAAAAACAAAGAGCCCCATCCAAGTGGTTTAAAAAGAAACAAAACACTTTATTGAGAAAAATTTCCAAAACGTCAAAAAAGTAGAGAGAAAAATGAATCCCATATACCCATCAACCAGTGTCAGTGATCACAAACTCATGAATAGTTTTGTCTGAGCTACACCCTGGGCCGTTTCTCCCCCACATTGCAGTATTTCAGTATGTATTTATTAAACAAGAACTCTTTTGAAAAATAAAACTACCATATTTTTACTACAGCTCCCCCTCATCTAATTATTTAATTTTACAGTTTGTTTGCTAGAATGAGGATCCAAATAAGGCCACGCATTGCATTTGGTTAATGGGTTGAATCTTTCTTTTATCCCCAACATTTTATTATGAAAAGTTCAAACATACAAAAAGTTGAAAGAATTTTGCAGTAAACACCTGTATTCCCACCACCTAGATTCGAATATTCTTTTACTGTACTTGCTTAAATCACATCTGCTACTCTCTCCATCCATCTGGAGTCTCTCCTAATCTGTAGTCATCCCCTATCTTTTTTTTAATTAGTGATTTTTTTAAAAAAACTGGAAATTGTTCTGAGCATTTTTTCAGTCGAAGTTAGCAGGAGTAACGTTTGAGGCAGGTGGCCTCTCACTAGTTTTGCCCTCTTCCTCCTCTTGCCGCGGTTGGTAGGTCCCAGCCCTTTGCAGTCCTGTGAAGTGAGCAGCTGCAGAGACCACCGTGGCCCCATTTGACCCAGTAGGGAAGGGTCTGGTCTGAGCACCTGGGCTGCCAGCTGGAACCACCTTTCCTGACTGAATTGGCAGGTGGAAGAATGGGGAGCACTGCCCTGCAAATATGGGTTCCAGGGAGGAGGCCGGTGTCCTTGAAGTGGGTCCCTGTGAACTGGCACGCTGCAAGAGGCCTGGAGAGGGGTGGGAGTGGAGAGGAAGCTAGCCGCCAGAGGCCTCCTAAACAAGGTGGGGAGACTGGGCGGGCCACTAAGTGGGGACTTCCTTTGGACCTCTGCTAAGAGCAGAGGGCTGGGCTGGGCTGCCAGAATCAGGAGCCAGGCTCCCAGAGTCTGTTGCACTGTCTGGGAGGAACGCCTTCCTAATGCCCCAGCAAGGGAGAAGCTGGAACACTTTACCCAAACCAGGATAGGGAGTAGGTTTCGTACGCTAGGATGATGAAGAGCAATCTGTTTTACCTTTGGAGAAGGATAGGAAAGCCTCGATCCACCTGGATTCTTATTTAACAACTGAAAACCTCGAACTTTTTATTCCAAACTACCCTTCAGTTCCATAGACTGACCAGTTGAGAACAGTGGGATGGAAAATGTGGAGCAGGGAAGAGAGTTAGACAAGGAAGAAAAGAAAGTAAATTCCCGATATCCACTTGAGTGTATGCTAAACGGAAAAACAGAGAGACTGAGTTGGGTGTGAAGAGGGAGGGCAAAAAGACTCTGGAGAAGAATCCGGAGTGTTAATCTACAAAACAGTCTGAAACTTACAAGTGTGTGACAGTGAGAACTACTCTTATTCCTGCCCTTGGAATTACGATTCGCTTTTAACCTACTGTTTACAGCTCTTAGACTGTTCTTCATTTCCAAACTGTCAGAAGCTCTGCTCTGTGTGGGAGGTGGGGAAGAGGGACTGTTCTTTGGCTGTGTTACGTTATGTGGGTTGTGACCATAACAACATTGCATCTTTGTTGTCATCTATAAAATGGGGATCATTTCTACCTATCAGGGCTGTGCAGATCAAATGATACTATATAATAAAGTACCTGGTACTCAGTGGGCCATCAGCAAATACCAGCCCCCCTTTTTCAGTAAAAGGTACTTTTGAAGTTTAGAGCAGTGCTTCTCAAACGCTCTGTGGTGAAGGCTCAGTTTTATGTTCTGTTTTTCTTTTTTTAGATTCCCAATCTGTTGTGTTCCGATACCTTCTTAAAATGCATCAACTGATACCTGCTCCCCCCCCCAACCAATTTTTTAGTATTTGATTCAACAATTATTCTGTCACATGGTTATCAGCGTTTCTGAACATATACTCTAAATTTCTGCACTCACCCCGCGGGACTGGGTCACAAAGACGCACAGACCCACC